TGTACGTACTGCTATACTTTTGTCCTACTGTCCTGCTGTACTGTATGTACTGCTGTCCTAATGTCCCGCTGTACTGTATGTACTGCTGTCCTGTACGTACTGCTATCCTAATGTCCTGCTGTACTGTATGCATCTACTGCTGTCCTTTATATGTACGGCCTACTGTGCTGCATTATGCATAGATATGAATGGGCATTGCCCTACTCGTAGACCCTACCCATAATGATGCAATTTAGCATTACATCATTTGGATACCTGGTGCATGAGCAATAAGCCAAACATCTGCATGTTTCAGCTATAGTCAAGATTCTCCTTTGGATTTGCAAGCAATAACTCCTTACTGCTATGAACCAGAGGCAAGTGATTCATTAAGTAGCAACAGTGATGAAGAACATGGAGATGAGACTAGACTAGCCAGTCTACACTGGTAAAGATCGCTGTGCATGTGGTATAGGTTTGTATACTTTTTGTCCTTTCAGGTGTCATTGTGCCAAATGTCAAATCATGCCAGCATCATTTGAATGTGTTTGCTGCTCTGAAAGGCCACAAATTGAAGAAAAAATTAAGTTACTTGAAGACACAGTTCAAAGCGTAACTGACCATCCAGGTTTTGAAGCTGTTTGCTTGAATGTCTGGGTTTTACAAGCAGCATATTTTCAGTATGGGCAAGATTATGTTACTACTATGATACCAGCAGCTATTAAAATGTAAGTAATCTGATTTATACATGCTAAAATTTTGTGTGTATAAATTTAGGCGTTATCGATATGTGGCATATTGTCAGTTTGTTCGATGGATAATGGGTTGGCTAGGGAAAGATATTAGAATCACTTTGCCGTCTTGTGTGGTAATAAAGATTAGAGAAGAATTCCCTTCATCTACTTACAAAGGGTTTGAATATCCTGACTTATAATTTTTTTTCATTACTAATTAAATCTTCTCTTGTGCTTATTAATGGCATCATATTTTTCTTGTCTGTAATAATTGGCACAAAGAGGAGGCATTTTTGCTGTGCTTGTTACTCTATCTCTTTCTATGTGGCTCATAGCCAATGTAACAAGCTCTTTGATATAATCTGTAAAGAAAATTATGTTAAGATGTTTCATTAACTAGTACAGCACTGACCATGAGTAGGATTTTCCATTATCTATTGAATAATGTATCCACTCTTTTTGTACTTTGGATAGGATATTGAAAATCTCTCTTCACTAGTTTTAGTTTCACTTTGCTGTCTGCTGCAGTTTTCATTATAATGAATAGCAGCAAGTTTTAGTCTTTAATAATAGCAATTAAAATAACATTAGTATTAGTTTCATTTACCTTGTTAGCATTCTATTATATGAAAAGGCTACTAGCTTTGGAGCAAAGTGCAATATAACACTATGAAATGCTTCAAGATTACTAGTCTGATAAATTGGTGACAGTTGTTTGACAGCATTGCAAAAGTTCTTGTCCATAATAATTTTTATTAGCTTTTGACTAGCCTTAGTGCCTATATAAGATGATCAGAATGCTTATACATGATTGTACATGTACTCGACTCACATCTCTTGAGCTATTTCTTTTTTTAGATCGTGAAATGTGACCATGTTGGCATTTCTTGAAATGTTTACTGCTATGTTTATGCTGGTTATGTAAATGATTATCTAGTGATAGCCATTTAGCTACTATTACTTCACCATCACCACTGGGCGTAGATCCTGCTGACCAATATAAATGATTAATCATGCTGCGTAGCCATTCCCCTACAATACTGCAGTCCTTTTTTGGCTAGTTTCTCAACTTTCTTAAAGCTACATGCATATAATAATATTAAATGCATGATGATTATAACTTACATTTAGCTATATGCCATACATCAAATGTTTTATTTGTGGATGTTTTTTCCGCATAAATTTGCTAATCCTACTGTGTCTGTCAGTCACCAACGTTCTAATATCAAGTCCCTTACCTTGAATAAAATTCAATGATCTAATAAGTCCTTTTTCCATACTAACACTACTAGTGACTTCACTACTCTGTAATAATTAAATTGTAAATTATATAAGATCTTATAACATAATTATACCTGAACTAAGGCAATATCAACAATTTGGTTGGAATTTAAACCCATTGTTGTATAGCTACCGTACTTAGCAGAGAACCCAGGGCTGTCAGCCCGTCCATCGCCACCTATAATTAATGGTGAACACTTCTTTTTTGCTTCAAAATATTTAGACTGTTTCCTCTCCCACAATGTGGATACAGCTGGTAGTAGAAAGAGCTTTTGATGCTTAAAAAACGTTGTTGAAGAAATTGATTTACAGTTTAGATACTTCAAAAATTGAAACGTTTTAGATGGCAAGTTTCCACTAAACAGTAGCGATGAAGAGAGAAGTAGGTTTCCTAAAGGGACATTGTTAACTAATGGCTGATTTTTCCAATGATAAATGTAACCACATTAAGAACAGTATTGTTCAATTCTGAGATACGTGCCAATTATAAACTTCTTAACGGAAGATGTTGTAGCACAGCACATTCGACATATAGAAAAAAGCAACAACAGAGAGCTTTGAAACACAATGTACCTTAATTCATGGGGTTTCCTATACAGACAAGCAATTTATTTGAAGTTTTAATCTAAAACTTACATTTCACTTTCATTAGTTGCTACTGCTATTTCTGTACCTTCATTGTCATCATCATCAGAAATTGTATTGCTGCAGTTGTATAAATACTCAATTTAAGTTAACATACCTAAAGTCACTGTAACAGCTTTCATCATCAGACTCTATAGTAAAGGACCTAGCATAGCATTAGAGAAATATAGTTTTCACTATTAATAAAATAAATGTTACTTATATGTCATGATCATCATTATCTGATAATGATAGCTCATCTTCACTAGAGATGATATCATCTGGTAGGCATGTAATAAGGGTACATTGTATTCCTATCTCTCTATAGGGTACTGCTTCAGTTTGTGATTGAACTGACTTGCATGATACAGTTGCCTGAGAACCTAATACAAAGCAGTGTTAATGTAATTATAATTTTAATTTGTTACCTTTCATCTTTTTTAGCCTTTTCAAACTATCAGACCTTGTTTCAACTCTGCAACTTTCATTTGAATTTTCTGCAATGTATAATAAGGATAATGATTTCACTATTGCCATGTATACCAGAACCTATGGGATAAAGTTCAAGTGCTTCTGTGCAATGTAGACTTATTTCATCATCAACACCTTGGTGTTGATCATTAACCACCCTCTCTTGCTCCACCACTGCAGGACTTGTCAAAAGGCTTATTGTAATCTAAACAAGACATTTGAAATAATATTTTAGTTTCAAACATATAGTAGCACTCACCTTTTTTCTATTCCTTCTTTGGTATCTACATATTCCCTTTGATGGGGCCTGACTGCTGTTATCTGCAGACTCCATTGGCCTCTTAAATATGCTTGGAACAGCATCTGGTTTAAGCCTTGTGAGTTTTTTTAATTAAAACTCTTTGATAAAGTAGAATTAGCCTCAAAAGAATCTGGAGTGAAATGACAGCTGCACAGAAAACAGTACTGTGTTTAGACAGACCATGCATCTCTTGTCCTTTTTACTTGTGCAATCCACTTCTTCAAAACATCATCAATAGGGAATGAAAACAAACTAAATCCATCCTTGGTTGTGTTACCACAGCCAAAAGCAATGCATCTCTTGGGCATGATATCACAGTTGCAATGCAAGGTTGATCATCAGATGACATCACAAATATGACACGCCCATATTGTTGCTTAAACAGGAAGAATTTGGCTGCCACCAAAAAAGTTGAAGTGTAGCATGCAAAATCTCGCAAAGAAAATTTTTTTTGAAAGATGTAAGTGCATAAATGTTTGTTATTTCTTGTATAGATACTGTGGCTTGATTGTTAAAAATCGAGAAAAAAGCTTAGTTACCCTTTAAGTATTGCTCTGTGCCCTCTACTCTTTCTCATTTATGCTCACTCTGTTTTGATCTACCATTGAGCTCCTTGATGTCTCTTCAAAGCCATCCACTGTTACTGCTTAATATTTTTATTAAACTTAATTTTGGAACAAGATGGTTATTCGAAAATTAAAATTCATTGAAAATTTATTTTCCAATTTATTCTCTAATTGGAAATTTTCAAAATTACGGTAAAACTAGTTGTGCTAAACAATACTAGCCCATTTCATGGTTCCTACCCTAAACAAAAAAAAAAAAATTATTTTGGCTTAGTGCCCCATAATACACTGCACAAGTATGTTTGTAGTCAGAGTTAGCTCAAATGCTGTCAGATTCACTTTATAGCATAGATAACAAATGGTATTCATGTCATTAATGTGTACATGCAGTTTAGAGTCTCTACTAGCAAGCCTAATGTGACTAACTTATTCAATGGGTCTATGCTCTATGCACTGCTGTGTGTATAATCGAATGAAGCAATGGACTTGAGAGGTAGTCAAATTAATAGATGTCTAAATACTAATCGAAGAAATAAAACTAGTTCTAAGCAATACTAAACCATTTTCTGATCTCTATCTTGAATTAAAAAAATTAAACAATATTTTGACTTTGTACCCCATAATACACTGCACAAGTATGTATGTAGTCAGGATTAGCTCAAATGATATCACCTTCCCTTTGTAGGATAGAGAACCATAGTATTGATGTCAATAATGTGTACATGTCGTTTAGAGTCTCTACTAGCAAGCCTAAGGTGACAGGTTCAGGCAATGGGTCTATGCTCCATTCACTGCTGTGTGTATATTCGAATGAAGCAATGGACTTTGAAGGAAATCAACTTTTTAGATATCAAAATACTACTCTTAAGAATAAAACTAGTTGTTCTAAATAATACTATGCCATTTCATTGTCACTATCTTAAATTGAACAAGCGTATTAGTGTAAAAAAATTCCTAAGATTGTTTCCACCACCGTATGTTTATCGCTCACATGTATAAATCCTCACTTGTATCATTCCTAGCATCATAATTATTGACTATTATTTATGATGATATTAAGCATGCACATTTAGACCTACATATGTACTATCACAACACAAATATACATAAACAAACAATTATCATACATAATTATTAATCTTATCATCTCTCCGAAGAGTGAGATTATTATTGATCTTGTCATCACTCCGAAGAGCGTGATTTTATTGATCTTGTCATCACTCCGAAGAGCGTGATTATAATGATCTTGTCAACACTCCGAAGAGCATGATTATAATGATCTTGTCATCACTCCGAAGAGCGTGATTTTATTGCTCTTATCATCACTCCGAAAAGTGAGATTTTATTGATCATATTATCATTTAGAAGAGTGAGATTTTATTGATCTTATCATCACTCCGAAGAGTGAGATTTTTTTGATAAAGAGAGAGAAAAGGACATATACATGCATTGTACAATAACACACATGCATACATGACTATATATACACTAAACATAATACAAAGGAACACAATAAATGTACATACATACAAAGCTAAACACATTCATATACTTAACATTTATCAGACATCCAATGCATAATACATGTACAGTACATACTACAATACAAACACAATCATAATAAATCTATAGTAAATATACGTTCAAATAATGAATTTTATTTAAATTCTTCGAATATCTTATCCACTCTAAAGAGCTCGATTTTATTAATGGTATCTTCACTCCATACATAAAGCAAGAGTGAG